GGAAACTTTTACCAAGTGAAGTAACAGACTCAGAAAAAAAATCAACATATGTTCTCCCTCATGTGTGAATCCTAGAAACAGACTCTGATAAATGAGTATGTAACCAGACATAACTACAGGAACCAGGATAATGGAAAGCAAACAGGGAGGTAAAGGAAAAGAAAGAACCTGAAACAGAACAGTAGGAAACAGGCCTCAATAAGGGAGATATGGATAAAAATTGGGTTAGTTTAAGGGAGCAGGGAGGTAAGGGTATATAAGGAACCTAGGAGATAAAGGGAAAGAAGGAGCTCAAGAGAGGTAGGACCATAGAAGGGTATTATTAAGGGAGAAAGCGGGGAATTGGGACACCTTAAATGGGAAAACCATTATGGGGTGAGATAATGCGAGAGATAAATAATGCCTAGCAAGTTTTGAAAACCATTGTGAACTACAACCCAGTGGCAAATTATACATAGCAGATCAAGAAATATAAGTCTAGGTAAGGTTTATCTGAGCACAACTGGTCTTTGCCCAAGATTTTTTCTACATGACACACAGCAATTAAAAGTACCAGACTGGCGGAACTAACCTTGGATGTTTAACAGACATACTTTGAGGCCTATAATAATTTGGTCAGAGGGACATAAAGGACAGTTTTTGCTCCTTTCCCTCTTAGGTCAACTAGTTCCAGGGGACTATGAGCATTTCTCAAAATGTCCTGTAATTGTGGGTCACCTGTCCTCTTGATCAAGGAGGCCAAATAGACTACCAGTTGGACTTGAGCCAGTGTCCAGTCTACAAAGAGGAGGATCAACACAGAGGAATCATTTCTTCCATGCTTCCAAGCAAAGGCAACCATGGTCCAATATGATCTTTGACTTATCTTCACATAGACGGAACTGGTAGAAGAAAGGAGCCAGGGGCTCCTCCCAAGCCTATGTGATCCCTGAGGAACTGATCCTCAAACGACCTTAAGAGTAAAAATAAATTGGTTTATCTGGGCCAACTGTATGGCCTTCAACACCCAAAAGGAAAGTATAACTTATCAGTGATTAAAGGGGCCAATATAATTTCTTCAGAGTCCATATGCATAGCTAAATGCTACATAACAGGCAACAGTGCCAGACAGGAGATACATTCTTTTGAGTTGTTGGCCAGGGTGGCCCACGGGACTCCCAGATAGTAACCCAGCATAGAACTGGGAAAATGAACAGGAGATCCCAATCTTATTTAAAGGAACATTGACTACTGATTGTTGCTATATGATGAACAGCTGACCCTCCGAAAACAAAGACCTCTAGACAGGCTGACCAGATTCACCAGAAGGGCAAGTGGTGGGGAATGGCTGGGGGTGCCGACAACACAGAAGACAGTAGCAGGAATTTCAGAATATAAGGGCTCTAGTTGGAGGGAGGATTGGGAGGGTGCCATCTGGCAAGTGGGTGTATAGTCGAATAAGATAGTTTGAGATGTTCATTTTGATATAAACACACACAAATCAATAAATTTTAAAAAATATTATATTTGAGGAGGGAGGAAGCATGGAAATTTATGTCATGTTAATTAGCAGAGGTGATAAACATTACAGTTGAAATCTACCCAATGATTTTATAGACATACACAGGCGCCAAGGATCCAAATGCAACTGATTATGACTAGTAATAATCAGATACATACATACTAGAGATGCATGTGCCAACATCTCAGTGTTAGTATCAAAAACAATGAGTCTTTCTGCAAGGAACAATATGTCCTAAAGTGAAATGAAGATTTTTTTGTTTTATTTTTTTATTTTATTTTTTGTCTTTTTGAGACAGGGTCTCCCTGTAGCCCCAGCTGTCCTGGAACTCACTGTGTAGACCAGGCTGGCCTTGAACTCACAGAGATCCGCCTGCCTCTGACTCCCCAGTGCTGCGATTAAAGGCGTGGGCCACCACACCCGGCTGGAGATCTTTTTTAAAGGTTAAAAACTCATTCAATTTTATGTCTTACAGGGCTTATACTGAGGTCAGTATTGTGTACCTGTATTAATTCCACTGTGAACCTAGAAACTTGCAGCCACTCGCAGGGATATCAGAGTATAAGGGCTCTAGTGGGGGAGGGAGGCTATGGGAGGGTGCTATCAGGGAAGTGGGTATAAAAATAAATAAATTAAATAAATTAAAAAAAATGATAATTCTTCAAAACATAAAATTTGGTCCTTAGTAATTAATTAGTACATGTGAAAAACATTACCATTGAAATCTACCTGATGACTTTATATCCATGCTCAGATGTCAAGGTGCTCAGAGAGTAACTGCATGTGCAAACATCTTAATGTCATTTGCATTAAAAATGAATATTTCTTTATGAAGACATGTATTTTAATAATGAAATGAAGATCTTTTTAAAAGTTTAAAACCTCATTTAATTTTATGTCTTAATGGGTTTATACTGAGTACAATATTATATATCAGTAATAATTCAACTGTAAACCTAAAAATTTACCGCCAATTTTGAAAGAGTTGCAGCCTACTTCAGAAAATTGTTATTGAATATGTCAATACTGATGTAATGAAATGGTTCTTCTAAGTATGTGGTCATTAAATAAATAATTTTTTAAAATCCTGCAAAAGAAAAGGAGTTTATTTGCTTAATTTATCAGACATTCTACTTCCTGTTCCTTCCCCCAATTTGTAGAATGGTGTCTGTAAATATACTATTCTTTAGTAATAGGTTGGTCTAATAAAATTTTATATGGAATTCCAGTTTGAGTCTGTTTTAAGTAGTCTTTGGATCTATTTATAGCTTGGAATTGAAGTAAAATTGCTTTGTTTGCTTTTAAGATTCTTATATATATAAAAAAAACTTGTCTAAATTGGTAGCTAGTAAATGTCTTCAGTGGTCTGAATCATTGAGACAATTTTAAGTGGAATCCACTTAAAATTCCTGGAATTTCTTCTGTGAGACATTAATCAAATTAAATCAAGATCAAGGGTTTTGGGGCTGTAATGAATATGGCACAGGACCAGAGCCAGATGTAGAAAGCTGGTTTTAAATTTTAGATTTGTCTCTTTTAAGGGTACAACTTGTATGTGGAATGTTGGTAGTAGTGATAATAACTGAAAAAAATGAAAAAGATACTTTATACGGCTTTATAAGGATGATTCAGATAAACATGTTCAGAATTTTAGTGTGGTTCTTGATGTACACTATATAAATGTCAGTTTTCTGTCTTCCTGTTGAGTCTTGTAAGCTGTAAGCATTGTATACTTGTTAAATTCTTCATTTTAATGTTAGCAAATTGAAGAAAGTTCAGTATATATTTTAAAGTTATTACTGTAAGGACAATTAAATTATGTTTACATGAGCTATAAATGTATCATTTTTAATTTCTAATTTTAGTGTAGAAGAGGCTCTTAATCAGGCTTGGAAACTTATGTGCTACAAAGAAATACCTAGCTAGGCATAAGAGTGCATACCTATATTTTGAGACTTTAGCCTTGGGAGGCTGAAGCAGGAAAATGTAACACCCCCCCACCCCAAGAGTTTGAGTTTAGCAATGTAGTGGGACCTTGTCTCAAAAACAAAAGACCTATGTATTTGTCTATATAAAGATTTTTAAAATTACCCAAAGCAAACAATACAGAGATGTTTGGGAAAGTAGTTCCGAAAGGAAGAATGAGATGGAGAAGTAACAAAGCACTATTGCAGATTGACCAAGAAGGGAGCTAGCACATAATTAAAAACTAAAGTTAAAGGATATGGATGAGAAATTCATGGGAAAAACACCCAGATTCCTCAAAAATGTATGAATAAATAAGTTTAATTATAGGCAAGAAATGCAGATTAAAATAGTAATGAGTATAGTATTCGCCTGACCGGCAACCATGACAATGGTCCTTAATCTCTATTGCTGCCAGGTTCATTCAGTGCTAGGGGGAATATAAATTTGGTAGAGCCGTTTAAAAAATATTGTTTTGTTTATTTTTATTTTATATGCATGAGTGTTTTCCCTACATGTGTTTAAGTGCCCCCATGTCCTGCAGTGTCTCTGGAGGCCAGAACAGAATGTCTGTTCCCTTGAAACTGGAGTTACAGATAGTTGTTAGCTGCCATATGAGTGCTGGACTCCAACCCAGGTCTTCTGTAAGAGAAGCCAGTGCTCTTAACTGCTGAGCCATCTCTCCAGCCCTAGTAGAGCCTTTTTGAAAAGCAGTCATACACTATCTTTCAGTATTCAAGTATGTACACCTTCTTGCCATATACAGTTATTCTGAATAATGAGAAAAATGTATTGTGTTCAGTGGTGGGTTGTGACCCCCAAACCACAGAAACAGAATGAATGGTTGACTCAGTTAATAGATCTCCACCATGGGGTGGTTTGCAGCCAGTTAGTATGAAATAGACCCCCCCCTTTTTTTTGGTTTTTTGAGACAGGGTCCCCCTGTAGCTCCAGCTTGTCACTATGTAGACCAGGCTGGCCTTGATCTGTCTCCTTCCTCTGTCTCCCAATTGCTGAGACTAAAGGTGTGCACCACCACACCTGACTGAATTAGACCCATTTTTAGAACTATTGTAGAAATTTAAAAATATCTAGAAATATTTTAGAAGCTTAAAATTTTAGAAACTTCCACTATTCATTATGGAATGAGAGGACTAATAAAAGTTTATAAGATGATAATATTTTATAAAACAATGACATTTCTATAAATTTCTTTTTTTTTTTTTGAGACAGGTTCTCTCTGTTCATGTTTAAAATTGGTATGGGTTGTATGTAGTGGCACATGCCTTTTAATCCTAGCATGTGGGAGGCAGAGGCAGGTGGATCTCTGTGGGATCAAGGCCAATCTGGTCTACATAGTGAGTTTCAGACCAGCAGGCTATAAGGAGACCATATCCCAAACAAACAAAAAATTGGTACAGAATTGTCCAAATAAATAATAAATTAGGAAATGTATAGATAATTGTTTTAAGTTAAGCGTTTACTTGAGTATTGGTCTTGATTTTCTGTGACACAGCTTTCTTCTGTATTTTAGGTAGCTGCAGATGATGGACATAGCAACAGCCTTCTTCCTCAGATCATTCAATGTTTTGCCTGTCCAAATTGCTTTCTTCTGTTTAGTACCAAGGATGAGTGTTTGAAGCATATGTCTGGAAAGAGTCATTTCCATCAGAGTTTTAAACTGGGTGGTATGTTAATATATCTCTGCTAAAACATTTTAAACTAGTTAAATCTCTGGAGATTATCATACTTCTTAGATTGTTGTTGGAGTTACTTAATGGTTATCACTTTTGGAACTATGAAAGTAAAAGATTTCTACTTCAATTTTATCTATGAGTATGTTTTACCTATTTTGAGAACTGAGGAGAAACTTGTGAAGAAAGCACTTATTCAGTATAGTGCTTTTGTTACATCTGTGATATCTGCAAATTTGGGTATTCCTCTGTATATAAGATTTGTTTGAAGTAGGCCAGGAATGGTGGTGCATACCTTTCATCCCAGCACTTGGGAGGCCAAGGCAGGTGGAGCTATGTGAGTTCCAGGCCAACCTGGTCTAGTCAATGTAGTGAGTTCCAGGCCAGCTGGGAGACCCTGTCTCAAAAAGCCCCCCCACCAAAAAAAAAGAAAAAAAGATTTGTTTGAAGCATAAAGCATGCTTTATATTGAAGGCTACAGAATGGTTTCCTTTACAGTTTTACTACATAAATAATTATCTTCTTTTACTTAATTGGTGTTTAGAAAGGAAAAAAGAAAGATTGGGCTACTTGGAATTATTTTGCAATTTATAGTTTATTTTGTCTTTCAGATGGAAAGGGAATAGCACATCCGATATCATTTCCATCTTTTGCAAAGAAACTTTTGATCTCTCTGTGCAAGGATGTTCAGTTTCAAGTTAAATGTGTGGCCTGCCACCAGATGCTACGTTCCCACATGGAGCTCACTGTCCATTTCAGGTTTGTGCAGGTTTAGTCTTAAGTTATAAGGAAGTCCTAGTAAGTTGTTCACTAGTAGAAGGATTCAGCAAATATTTTGCTCTCCTTTTAAAATAAGGGTAGGGGCTAGAAAGATAGTGCTCAGTGATTAAGAGCACTAGCTGCTCTTGCAGAGGACCCAGGTTTGATTTCTAGTACCCATATGGCAGCTAACAACTGTCCTTAATTCCAATTCCAGGGGATCCGATGCCCTCTCCTGACCTCCAAGGGCATTGCACGACACTGGGTGCATCTATCTACATGAAGGCAATGCATTCATACACACAGAATAAAAAAAATAAATAAAAAGTTACCAAAAATAAAATAAGGGTGTGGCTTTTCCTGAAAGTAACCAAATAAAGTATAATGAGAGAAGTTAGAGGTGTGGGCAAAAGTGAGACAGGGAAGTATGGTTGGGGGCAGGGAAAGCCAAAAGGTATGGAATTTGTTTTAGGTGTGATGCAGCATTCTAAAATTGTCCATCCTAAATCCAGATTTCTTGTAGCTATCACTGCATTGTGAATCTTGTTCTTTAGTAGAAAACCAAATATGGGTACAGCATATTCTTGACATAAAAATCAGTTCTTAAAGAATGAAGCTGGGTATTGTGACGGTGCATACCCGTAATCTGAGCACTTGGGAAGCTGAGGTAGGGAGCATGGGAGACGGAGGGAAAGCCCATCTCAAAAAACAAACAAAAAATAAAATGAAACAAACAGCCCATGAGAGAGTAAAAAACAGCAAGAGAAAAGGATAGACAGTGCTTTTCCACGTATTTAATTACTTTGGAGAGTCTAATTTGCTTTAAGGTTCTTTATCAATGCATTTGATATTGACTTTAGTTTTCTAAAGTTTATCTTAGTATTTTTCTTCTTCTGATTCTAGTTTTAACATTTTGTATGTATATTAAAAGACAAAAATATAAGCCAGGCTTGGTGGCACACGCCTGTAGTCCCAGCACTTGGGAGGCAGAGGCAGGCGGATCTCTGTGAGTTTAAGGCCAGCCTGGTCTACATAGTAAGTTCCAGGATAGCTGGGGCTACAGGGAGACCCTGCTTCAAAAAGACAAAAAAAAAAAAGACAAAATATAGGCAGTGCTCAACTGTTTTGAAATGGTAGAGCATCCTTAACTGTGTCTTTATTAAAAATATTTTCTAGTGACTATTTAAATTTTGCTTATTTTAAAATTATTGTCATATAAAGCAGAGATGATATATTTAAAAAACTTACACTTTTTTATTTTAATCCAAATTAGGGTTCGTTGTCGAAATGCTGGACCTGTAGCTGTGGCCGAGAAAAGTATTACTCAGGTTGCAGAAGAATTCATATTAAGAGGTTATTGCTCAGACTGCAACCAGGTCTTTGTAGATGAAACCAGCATCCAAAGTCACAAGAATTCAGGACACAAAGTCCGAGTCATTAACTCAGTGGAAGAATCAGTCTTACTATATTGCCACCTCAGTGAAAGAAGTAAGCCTCCTTGTGAGTTGCATTCATTGTTCAACCAACCAAAATTTTCATCGCTTAAACGAATTATGTCTATTAAAGAATCCAGCTCAGAGGACTGTGCCATTCCAAAAAAGAAGATGAATTTAGAAAATAAAAGCCATGGAGGTATAATTAATGTCAATACACAAAAGTCAAGAGTTATAGCCTGGGTTTGTGAATGCACTCGACGATTTCCAAGTGAAGATGCAGTAGAAAAGCATGTTTTCTCAGCCAACACGATGTGTTACAAGTGTGTGGTCTGTGGAAAGGTGTGTGAAGATTCAGGGGTCATGCGTTTACACATGAGCCGGTTTCATGGAGGGGCACATTTAAATAACTTTCTGTTTTGGTGTAGGACATGCAAAAAGGAGTTAATAAAGAAAGATTCTATTATGGCACATGTTACTGAATTTCATAATGGACACAGATATTTTTATGAGATGGATGAGGCAGAAGATGAAACTTTGCCATCATCCTCTGTGGTGAGTAATTTGACTGTGGACAAATCATCTTCAACCCCGACTGTAGTTGGTCATTTCCTGGTAGACAGTCCTCCAAGAGGCAGATGGCAATGCCGAATTTGTGAAGATATGTTTGATTCCCAGGAATGTGTAAGACAACATTGTATGTCTTTGGCAAGTCACCAGTTTCATAGATACAGCTGTGCCCATTGCAGAAAGACATTTCATAAAATAGAAACATTATACCGACACTGCCAGGATGAACACAACAATGAGATAAAGATTAAATACTTCTGTGGGCTTTGTGATCTTACTTTTAACATGGAAGAAGCATTTCTGAGTCATTATAAGGAGTACCATAGCATAGATTATGTGTTTGTGTCAGAAAAAACTAAAACTTCGATTAAAACTGAAGATGATTTTTCAGTGGTAGAGACCAGTAACCTGTTAGCCTGTGGTTGCCATGAGAGTTACATCTGTAAAGTTAACCGAAAAGAAGATTATGATAGATGTCTCCAAACCATGCTAGATAAAGGTAAACTGTGGTTTCGCTGCAGTTTGTGTTTAGTGACAGCACAGAACCTAGCCAACATTAATGCTCATATCCATCAAGTGCACAGGAAAGAGAAGAGTGATGAGGAGCAGCATTATGTGATCAAGTGTGGAACCTGCACCAAAGCCTTCCACAACCCCGAGAGTGCTCAGCAGCACTTCCATAGAAAGCATGGCGCCTTACAGAAGCCCAGTGTGACTCCTGTTGGATCTGACAAAGGAGGCATGTTGAAGTTCTCTGCCAGTGTCTCACACACTGAGAAAAAACTCAACCAGACAATAAGCTATCCAAAAACTTCAGACATGGAGAAGGGAGCCGAGAATGACATAAGCTGCCAGAACATAGGTATGGCTGTACAACTGGTACATGTTTCACATGCTGACAGAAACTTAAGTGCAGCATGCCCACCAGAGAAAGCTGATGGAATTTTGAAGCAAAAAGTATTGACTAATAATGTACCTTTTAGGGATCTGTATTCTTACTACTTTATCTACTTTTAGAGGGAAGAAGTTTATCCTGTCTTTAAGTAATAGATAATAGATTTATTTCTACTTGAAGAAGGAATGAGTTTTGAGAAAGGACAGAAGTTGCTAGTCTTTCTGAAAAATTTGGAAGTTTACTCTTACCTTAAAATCATGTTTTTCTTAATATTAAGGTTCATTTTAAAAAACAGGTTTTTTTTTGTGTGTGTGTGTTTTGTGCAGGGAATCAAATTGACATGCTAAGCAAGTATTATAGCACTGAGCTATATCACCACCCTGTCTTGTTTCTCTTTGGCCTTTTTTTTTTTTTCGGAGACAGGATCTCCCTGTAGCCCTGTCTAGCCTGGAGCTCACTATGTAGAGCAGGCTGGCCTTGATATCACAGAGATCTACCTGCCACTGTCTCCTGAGTACTGGGATTAAAGGGCCCCTGACACCTGACTTTGTTTTGTTTTTGAGATAAGATCTCACTCACTGTGTAGCCAAGGTTGGTCTGGAGCTTACTTTGTAGCCCTGAATGGCCTAGAAATTCTGACAATCCTTCTGCCTCCTGAATGCTGGGATTTCAGCCATCATGCCTGGTTTGCTATTTACTTTTTCTTTCTTTTATTAATTTTTATTTTATGTGCATGAGTGTTTTGTCTGCATGTTTGTAAGTGCACTCATGTGCTGAGGAGGAAAGAAGAGGGTGTTAGATCCCCAGGAACTGGAGTTATGGATGGTTTTTAGCTACCATATGTGCTGGGAACCAAACCCAAATCCTCTGGAAGAGCAGTAAGTGCCATTAACCATTGAGCCATCTCTGTAGCCCCTTGAAATGTGAGAAATCATAAATGTGATTTAAGATTGCTTGGTAACAAAACTTACTAATATGTCATTTAAATAGCAGTTAGAAGCAGAGTTCAAAGTAGCAGCAAGAAGTGAGGGGAGAGATTGAGTTGTGAACTCCCTTTTGTGTGCTTCCTTTGAACTTCCCTTCCATACAGTTGGATTAAGTAAATATAATAGTGCTTTATTTCATTTTGAGGTGTAACTTTTTTGAGGGGAGATTGGGATTAGAGAACAATAAGTTTATATCCTTTTGAATATTAACCTGGTAAGTTGTAAAAGGCAGAGTGGAAACTGAGACTGAAAATTTTGGCTGATAAAAAATTTTTTTTATGAACCACAGGATTTTTATTATGTTTTTCTAAATTACTTATGTTTATAAAGTAGCATCCTAGAATCACAATCTGCTAGCTTGATGTAAGGCCTCTAGAGTCAGGAGAGATGTGGGAGGGGTCCTGCAAAGCCCTCCACAGCAGCCTGTGCCTCTGGAATCTCCTGGTCCCAGCTGAGGGAACAATGAGGCCACTTGGAGTTCTCACTTCTGCAGCCCTGCTGGACTCCAGAACATCTATCCAGAGCAGGCACCTTGCTTTAGTCTCTGGACACACAGCCACCCTCAGAGCCCAGATACAGCCTAGACTCACAATTGGCTGGAGGTATGTGTGGATGGATGCCTAGCAGCCTCAGGCCCCAGCCTGAGCTGGCACGTGGGACTTTGGTCAGATTTTTATCACTGCCGTTGATCCATTTTTTTGATGTGTCTCAGTATGTTAACACAGAGTGGTCTCAAATGTTATGTTCAAGTCATCCTCCCTATCTTATCCTCCTGCATAGAGGACTACAGGTGTGCCCCCACCACCACACCTAGTTCTACACCATTGATTGTTACAGCCTTGTTCTCCACCACAAATAGGTCTCAGTATTACCTTAACCTGTGGGTTTTCAGTGAGAAAGGATTAAATCATTCATGGCCTAATCAACTCAAGTTCTAAAAAGTGAAACAGTGATTAAACTATTTTATGTTCCCTTATGCTTTTCTTTTCATCCTCATTACTTTGGGGAATTTGTATTTGTGTTTGATAGAAGATGACTATAACATCTAAATCTAGAATTTCTAAGAACCAGAAGGTACATCATGGCTTGGAAATGGGAGGGGATGGTGCTAATTAACATTGAAAGAGTCTTTTGGAAGAGTAGAAGTTACTTGTTTTAAAAATAATGTTAAAACTTTCTAAGATTTGCATCTCCTTCACTGGAAACTCTTAAGGTGGAGAATGGGAGAAGATGTAAGAACCTGAGTATGGCAGTGAGGTTTCAAGTTACCTTATTTCTGTTCTCATGGGTATTTAATCCTAGAACCAAAAGGCTACCGATAAATCAGTCTAGATTAAGAAAAGCAAGTTTTGGTGGCAAGAGCATTATTAGTAGGTAACTTTGAAATTAGTTGTTGCTTTGGTTTTTTTGAGGTAAGTTCTCACCATGTAGCCCTGGCTGCCCTAAAACTTTGATCTTCCTGCCTCAGTGTTGAGTTGAAGGTACGCACCCCACACACACACACACCCCTAACTTGAACTTTTATATTAGTCATTTTTAAAAGTTCCTTTGGGGGCTGGAGAGATGGCTTAGTGGTTAAGAACACTGGTTGTTCTTGCAGAAGACCTGGGTTTGTATCCCAGCACCCACATGGCAGCTAACAACTATCCGTAACTCCAGTCCCAGGGGATCTGACAGCCTCTTCTGACCTCCACAGGCATTGCATGACACGGGTGCACTTACCTACTTTCAGGCAATACACGCATACACGTAAAATAAAAATAAAAGTAGTAAATAAAATTTAAAAAATCAAAGTTCCTGGCTGGGCGTGGTGGTGCACGCCTTTAGTCTCAGCACTTGGGAGGCAAAGGTAGTCTGGTCTTTATGACTTCAAGGCCAGCTTGGTGTACATAGTGAGTTCAGGTCAGCTGGGACTACGGGGAGACCCTGTCTCAAAGAGACAAAAAAAAAAAACAAAAAAAAACAAAAGTTCCTTTGAACCTTCATGAATTGAACATTAGAACATAATTTGAATATTGTAACTGTATATTATAGTTATTATGCTAGATTTTTTTTCAACATCTCTGGTAAATGTTAGCTCTTAAGTTCGCGAATCTTTTTTAAAAATTATTTTTATGTATATGAGTGTATTGCCTGCACGTATGTATGTGTACCCTTGTGCGCAATGCCCGCAGAGGCAAGAAGAGGGTGTCAGATCCCTTGGAACTGGTGTTACAGATAGTTGTTAGCTATCATGTGGGTGCTGGGAGTTAAACCTGGGTCCTCTGTATGAGTAGCCGGTACTGTTAACCACTGAGCCATCTCTCCCGTCACATATAAGTTCATGAATCTTTTGATATACACTGAACATTTATTTATGGATAATGAAAGTTTATACTTAGTTTATACTTATTTAGTCTTAAAACTTGGACTTCTAATTGTCCTAGTACATTAATTTATTAAAAAATTCTTCTACAGATGACTTAAGCAAAGCCTAGCTGGCTGTGGTGGTTCATGCCTATAATCTCAGCATTTGGAAGATAATGGCAGGACAATCAGAAGCTAAAGACCAGCCTTGGTTTTATAGTGAGTTTAGACCAGCCTTGGTTTTATAGTGAGTTTGAGGCCAATCTGGGTTACATGAGACCCTGTCTCAATATAATAACACAAAGGCTGTGCAGTCAAAGGAAAATACTACAAAAAGAATATGCAATCAACTGTGAAATATTCTGAATATTACCTATTTAAGTCTGAACTGAAATATATAGATTTGGATTCTGTAAAAAGGTTTAGGGACAGTTGAATAAAGAAACAATTCATGCTGGGCATTGTGGCGCACACCTTTAATCCCAGCACTTGGGAGGCAGAAGCAGGCAGATCTCTGTGAGTTCAAGGCCAGCCTGGTCTACAGCTGGGGCTACAGGCAGACCCTGTCTCAAAAAGACAAAACAAAACAAAACAAAAAAACATGTTTTTGTATATTCAGTATCTTTTAGATTTAAGAAATTAGAAGGTGTATGAAGATTCTGGCTGAATTCATGCTAATGTTTTTTGTTCTCAGATGAAGAAGTTGTTGAGCTTCCAGATTTGGACTACCTGCGAACCATGACTCACATAGTCTTTGTAGATTTTGATAACTGGTCCAACTTCTTTGGTCATCTACCAGGCTATCTTAACCAAGGAACGTTTATTTGGGGTTTTCAAGGTATGATTCAGAAGGAAACCATTTGAGACACCTCTTCTGAAAATGTGATTCTTTTTTTAGCTTTGATATTTATTTTGTTTTTAAAATTGATTCCAGAATTTCAAACAATAGATGATTCATTTTAAAAGGTTCTTTAAGCCTTCCTGTGAATAGAATATTGAAGTATAATTTGAATAGTATTACTGTGCATTGTAGTTACTTTGCTAGATTATCTTTTTACATTTATTTTGTATGTGTGGTTTTGGGTGCATGTGTGCCTCTTGTCCTTGTAAGTGGGTTATGGGCATTGAACTCAAACTGTCAGACTTGGTGACAACTGCCTTTACTCACTGAGCAATCTTGCTGGCTCTAGATTATTTATTTATTTATTTATTTATTTATTATTTATTTATTTATTTATTTATTGTAGGCCTTTATGCTAAATATTAGCTCTGCTTGTTGATCCAGAATTTGTATGTGTCTTTTGATGCACACAAAAAGGATTTATTCAACATTTATGATGATCTAGGCTTTGAAAATACAAGGAAGTGGGATGAGGAAGATTTTGTATATTTGCTTTTATGTGTTTAGAAACAAAATACAGGGGCTGGAGAGATGGCTCAGCAGTTAAGAGTACTAACTGCTCTTGCAGAGGACCAGGTTTGATTCCCAGCACCCACATGGCAGCTGTAAACCATCCTTAACTCCAGTTCCAGGGGAATTTGAAGCCCTCTTCTGTCCTCCATGGCATTGCATGACACGGGTGCACTCACATACATGCAGGCAACATACATGCAGTTCCAGATCCCCTGGAACTGGAGTTATGGACAGTTGTTACCTGCCATATGAGTGCTGGGATTCAAACCCAGGTCTTCTGATAGAACAATCAGTGTTCTTAACCGCTGAGCCATCTCTCCAGCCCATAAATAAAATATTTTTAAAAATTAAAAAAAAATATGCAAGGAAGCAAGCTGAGAAGTTTATTTTTTGTTCTCTTTTTTTTTTCTTTTTTTTTTTTTTTTTTTGATCTTTTTGAGACAGGGTCTCCCTGTAACCCCAGCTGGCCTGGCACTCACTATGTAGACTAGGCTGGCCTTGAACTCACAGAGATCCACCTGCCTCTGCCTCCCAAGTGCTGGGACTAAAAGGCATGTGCCACCATGCCTCTGTTTTTAAATTAATGGCATTAATGGAAAGCAGAGTTAGCTTTTGGACTAGAGTCTCCTGGCTACAGGACCTATGTTATTTTCAACATGCCATTATTGCCTCTTCTTTAATTATTGTTATTTGTCAAGAAGCAGCTTCACTAAATACCTCTGTGGACCACTGGCCAGACTTGTGGGAAAGAATTCCCTGATTTACTGAGGTTTAATATAGTGAGTATCAGGTATAGTTCATATTTCAGAGGAAGAAGCATACAAAGAGGACAATTGGCATTAAAGATTGAAAATATACACCTGGATAAATAAGCCCAGGTAATGCTTTACTAAGTCTAGTTCCGCTGATTGTGCATCATTTCTCTTTTTTTAACTTAAAAAATATTCTTTGACAATTTCATACATACATACATTTTTGTAATTTTCCCCTCCTCCCCTATTACACTCTCTCATCCCCCTTCCATTCTTTCTGAATCCCTTCTTCCCAAAAAGTGTTCCTATTTTCAGACCCAGTGAGTTTAATTAGGGCTGCTTACATGAGTATAGTTGGGGTTATAAATGAAGCAAGGGCAACTTAACAGTGGCTACACCACTGAAGAAAAGATGCCCCTCTTCTCCCATGGCCATTAACTGCCAACATCATCTCATGGAGGGGTGGTGCTTCATTGGCCTTTGGCCAGTTGGTGATGGAATGTTGCAGGCCCCATCTTGTGCAGGTAACCACAGCTGCTATGAGTGGTTTACTGTGCAGTGCCTGGCATGTCCAGAATACAGCATTTCGGAGCATTCCCCCATCCTCTGGCTCCGACATTCTGTTCCTTCTTCCACCATGTTTTCTGAACCTTGGAGGGAGTTACATAGTCTTTTTGGGGGCTGAACTTTCAACAGTCACTTACTCTTAGCACTTTGACTGGTTATGAATCTCTGTATTAACTTACCTAGTGCAAAGAGAAGCTTCTCTGAGGAAGACCAAAAGTAGAACTAATCTGTGGGCATAAATACTTAGAATGATTGCCCGTTATTTCTATCCACTCACTAGCCTTGGCATGTTATAGAAACTACCAATTTTTGCATATTTTTAGAAAGACGCCATTCTAAGAATTTTCACATAAAACTTTTGATTCTACTTACCATCATTATGAACTTTTAGGTGAGTAGGCACATTCGAAGAAGTTAGTCCCCATTTCTAATATTATAAAGTAGCAAGGTGGGATGTCTGTAATAGGACTGAATTCTCTCACATTCTTATCTTTTAAAACAGCATCTCTTGGGGCTGAAGAGATGGCTCAGCGGTTAAGAACACTGGTTATTCTTGCAGAAGACCTGGGTTCAGATCTCAGCACCCACATGGCAGCTAACAACTGTCTGTAACTCCAGTTCCAGGGGATCTGACAGCCTCTTCTGTCCTCCACAGGCATTGCACAACACGGGTGCACTTATCTACATGCAGGCAATACATGCATACACATAAAATAAAAATAATAAATTAAAAAAAATATATTTAAAACAGCATCTCTTGTGGCCCAGGCTGGCCTCAATCCTGCTGTGAAGCTGAAGCTGGCCTTGAATTCTTGATATCCGGCATCCACTTCCCACAAGTTTGCACCACTGGGCCTGATTTATGTGATGGTGGTGGTCAAACCCAGGGTTTTGTGCATGCTAGGCAAGTACTCTACCAACTGAGCTACATCCTCAGCTCAGTTCTCTCACATTATAGTTTGATACTTTCTCTGTAGAAAAGTAAAACCTTATAAGATATATTTTTCCTTGATAAAGTTTTCAGTCTTTTCTTTCCCCGTTTGACTATCATATTTTTTCTAAAATTAATAGGCGGAAACACCAATTGGAAGCCTCCACTGAGCTGTAAGATTTATAATTACTTAAATAGGATTGGATGCTTCTTTCTTCATCCACGTTGTAGTAAAAGGAAAGATGCTGCTGATTTTGCCATATGTATGCATGTAAGTCACTGTTTTATTAAAAATCTATTATCAACCTAGGATTCATTTAGATTTTCTTTCACACAAGAACTGCGATGGCAATTTATATAGATCATTATTCATTGCTGATTTTTGTAAAGAATTCACAGGCAAGGATCATGGCATATTTTATTTACTGCTTTATCTCAATCTTGTAGATTTTCATCCATATATAGCATACTCTTAATTATTTATGGAATAGTCAAGAGATGATATTGTATTTGATGTATGCTAATGTACTTTCACATAAAATGTTTTAAAATTTAAGGACAGGCTACAGAGAGACCCTGTCTCAAAAGAAAAAAAAATGTTTTAAAATGTTTTATTTTTATTTTATGTGTATTAGTGTTTTGTCTGCATGTACATATGTGCACCACATTTATGCTCTTAGAGGCCAGAAGAGGGTGTCTGATTCCTTGGAACTGGAGTTACAGAGGGTTGTGAACTGCCGTGTGGGTTCTGGGAACTGAACCAGGGTCCTCTGCAAGAGCATCAAGTGCTCTTAACCTGCCGAACCATCTCTCTAGCCCCTTTCACATTTTAGCATCTGAAACTGAGAGGGGTCTTGTCAATCACTGTTGTCTTAAATAGAATCTTCATTTACAACTGCCTCTTCTGGTCACTCAGAGAAACTACTAACCAGGACCCACTTTATAATAAATTCTCTGCTTAAAGGTTTTTGTGTCACAGAGATAATATGTGACAGTTCTCAACTGCTGCTTCAGCCATAAGAGATTTCTCTCTCCTATGTAGTGTGAAGATTAAGTCATTCAAGTTACCTTTTTGTGTATTTTCCCTATAGGGATTTGTTTTTTCTTACCTTGAATGTGTGGCCTTTTGGTGACTCCGCTTTATGTAGGTACCCCCTTGACCTTGAATTTTGGCTTCTTTTTCCTTAGTAGTATATAACTAGGTTATCTTACTATTATTGGCACCTTTTTTTTTGGTTTTTTTTTTTTTTTGATTAAATGTATTGTATTTTGTTTATGAAGGCTGGGCTAAGAAAGAAACAAGCATAATATACTGTCCTAGGTATGTGCTCATTGTGAAATAGCTGTTACTTGATTTGAAGCTTCCAGATTTTTATCAACCTATGCCATTTGTTCTAACGTAGGCTGGCCGTCTAGATGAACAACTGCCTAAGCAGATTCCTTTCACCATCCTCTCAGGAGACCAAGGTTTTCTGGAGCTAGAGAATCAATTTAAGAAGACTCAGAGGCCAGCTCATATTCTAAATCCTCACCACTTAGAGGGAGACATGATGTGTGCCTTGTTAAATAGCATATCTGATACTACCAAAGGTACGCAGCTGCCACAGTGCAAACCGCCCAAAAGGAGGAGCTTTCACTGCTGAAAGAAACCAATAAACTGCTGTCTGCTGGTGAACTGCTATCTGCTTCTTATACCTGCCTCCATGCTCTGTTCCTTCTCTCTACCTTATACTTTTCTTATCTCACTTGCATTCTTATTTTGTGTTTATTATGACCAGGGTCTCTTGTAGCCTAGGCTGGCCTAGAACTCACTGTGTAGCAGAGGCTGGCCTTGACTCCTCATCCTCCTATCTCTATCTCCCAAGTGCTGGAAGGAGGCCTGTGTCATTTGCCTGGTATTACTTTCATTCTTAGGTGTACTTCTTAGAATGAAGATTATTCACATTAATTTTCCACAACCTTTTTAAATTCTTATAAAAGAATTTTATCAATATCCACTTGATTTAAAAATCAATATCCACTTGTATAAAATATATATATTCATGTATTAAAATATACTACAGTTTACAATTCAGATCTTCACTTTATTTCCGAAATTTTGAATTTATCTTTAGTTTTTTTAGAAAGCAGAGTGTTGTCTACCACCCTTAAGGCATCCTAGCTAGTCAAAAAACAGAGTACTTTTAAGTAAACATGAAAGCAAGAAATATGGCAATATCAAGAATTAGAGACTTTGTGAGGTTTACCATGACAGAATGAAATCCTAAGGAGCCTGTGAGGAAGTGGGTACCTCTGGCTTTATTGCTGTGGTTTGTACTTTCCTACCTTTGTGAAACTGTCTAGTGATTAGGACTATTGATGTTCATTTCACCACCACCCAGTATTTAAAGAAGAAAGTAGTTCTAGGAATTCTTAAGTTTTGGTGGTTTTTTTTTTGTTGTTGTTGTTATTGTTGTTGTTGTTTTCTTACTGTTTAGTTTCTTAAATACAAAAGAAGAGAATGTAAGAATAATACATAAATATTCTGTGGACAGGTGTGGTTGGTTACACTTGTTAATTTCAGCAGTTGATAGGCTGTAGTAGGAAAATTGACATCAAACCTGTTTCAGATAACAAAAACAAAACAAAAAAACCCAAATCCTCAAGAATTTGAGTTCATGAGTAAGGTTTGACGATCCTGAGCCAGGTATGGTGGTGCATGCCTGTAATCCTAGTGCATAGGAAATGGAGGCAGGAGGATCAGGAATTGGAGGCCAGCCTTGGGTTGCAAGAAGAGACTTGTCTCAAATAAAACAAAATTTTAAAAGATTTGAAGATGTTGGTGAATAGCCTCAATGAAAGCTGGCTTCTTTTTGGCAGTCTTATTATATCCTTTTAAGATTTTTAATTCTGTTTGCCACTCTGTTATTTTCTTTCAAAACAGTTGGGACTATATTTTTATTAAAAACTCATAATGAAGAATGTTACTCTAATCACCAGTAAGAGTGGATCAATGTATTTCTAAAATATTATAATGTAGCCCTCTTGGTTTTTTTGAAACCTGGTGTCCTGTGGCCCAGCCTTGAGTTCCTGATCTTCTCGCCTCGACCTCTCAATGCTGGGTTGTGCCACCATGCTTAGCACTCAACTATACTTTTTTTTAAGCAGAGTAATGACGCTGGGTGTAGCACAACTATAATCTTCCACTCAGGGAGATAGAGCCAGGGGCAAAATTGCTAGTTCAAGGCCAGCCTTGGCTACACATACTCATAAAGAAAAAGGCAAAGTAATGATGCAAGGTGATAAAAGAAAATGAGCTCTTGCATGTTTCTATTGTGCCTTGGTCCTCAATATTATCTTCCTATTCTCTTATTTTTATTTTTATCTACTTCATTTTTCTGTCTTTGGCTTTTAAAAACAAAACCAAGTCAAAGTATAAAGCCCATCTTCCTTTGTTGTCCCTCCTCTTATTCTCCTGCCTTTGCCACACCAGACAACTTCTTTTATCTTTTCTCATGCTACAGTTCGGGGAACATTTCTTTTAGAATTTGGACTGTGATGCCTGTTGTGGATTTGCCTCTATTTCTGTTCCATTTGAAATGAATGCTGCATATAAATAGGTCTGATGGGTAAATTAGGTTACATTAAGAAGCAGGTTCTTGAATACCTGCTGATTATGCCCTGATACTCTGGGTATCCTTTTTCCTTTATTATTCATATTCAGTACTCAGTTGAACTTACTACTTTTTGGAGAAACATGGTATCCTTTATTCTGAATGTTGTAAAATACAGAGATTGTACACTAACATAAAGAAGGGCTCTGATTGCATGCTAACTTTGCTGCTTCCTAGCCAAGTGATCTCAGGCAAGTTACTTTTTCATATCTTTTAGGGTGTAAGAATTGGTGATGTATGTAAAACCGTCTAGCACTGTATATGTAAAGCCCTTTGGATGTTTAGTGAATTATAGCCATTTTTATTAGTAGTTTCATAACAAGGAAATATAGTTCCTAGCCACTATATTTTTAAAGTAATAAAAATAATTAAAATTAAGTAGTCTTTAAATCAAAAGTATTTAAAAAAATTAAATCATAGTCTGTTCAGGTATAGTTGTATAATTTAAGTACAGCTTTTTCTTCATGGAAGATTTAAACAGTTTAAAGTAAACTTTATAATAAGAAAGTCACTTTTTCAGATGGGGTGGGGGTGGGGCTCTGAGATGACAGTGTTCTTGTTTTGCTTAGGTTAACTTTGAACATCTGGCTTCAAGTGGTCCTCCTGCCTCAGCTTCCTGAGTAGCTGTGACTACAGGTGTGTACTACCACACCCATCTTCTATGAATGGTTCTCGTTGAGCCTTAGGTTAGTTTGGTTACCAGAGAATGTCAAGGTAACTCCTTACTTACATGATATTCCTATCGTGAGATTTGACACAGTTTCTTAACACAATGTAGTTTGGAGTTAGGGGTTCAGTAGACATCTGTGAGACTCTGATGAATACTTTCTCACAAAATAAATATGGGTATACCATATTACCTACAAGTTTCAGATTTGTAGTCCCCACATACCTAGGTGCTAGCCAGCAGACAAAACTGTCAGCTTGAGTATACAACAGAAGTGTTTTTGTTCTGTTATTATGGTGCTGTGAACTGAACCTTAGCTGTTGCTAATTTTTCAGTTAATTGGAAGTTTTTCAGGAAATACTTAGCTTAGTAAAAATAAAGATATTTAGAGTTGCTGGTTCATATATTCATGTTCATTCACTTGGTCATAAGTCTTATTTCTGCTTGACAAGGAGGGGAAAACTACGTAACTTCACTGGTATTTTTTTCCAAGTCTTTGACTTGGTTAGGGAAAATCATTTACTTTTTCAGGCATTTACTTTTTGAGCCTTTAAATTAAATTTGATTGTCTCATAACTTTTGCCTTAGTCTCTCTAGGCTCAGGGTTCCAGCACTAATATTTGGTTTGATTTGATACGTGTATAAATATCTAGTAACTTGTGGACCCCTTTCATAGCCTTATTCATTAACTCTATTTTCTATTGCATTCATTCTCACTTTCTTAAAAGGACCAGGAGCCTATTGGGGCAGCACATACTGTAATACTACTGCTCAGAGACTGAGATAAGAAGTTGCATATTCAAGGCTGGTCCAGACTACCCAAGGAGATCCCTTATTTTTTATATAAAAAATAAAATGAGAAACAAAATAACTAAACTTTTCCTAGAAATCCTAATTAGGGGTGCTCCACTGCTGATCTCTTAGACCTCTAACATGTTTTTCAGAACCTTCTAGTGTAAGTTTCATGTTTCAGAGAGGTATATAGCATGTTACTCTAGTTTTCAGTTTTAAAGAGAAGTGAAGTAATATTTCTTGAGAGCATACCGTAGTTCCAACAAATATGCTGTTTTTTATACTTAAAGTATTTGAACATTTAAAGATGTTTAGATACATTTTAAAAATCCCCATGTTTTTTAATTCTCTTTTTATATACTGTGAGATAGGATGTGTTAGATTACAAATCCCATTTTACAGGTGACGAAGCAGTGATTTAGAAAGTATATTTTTTTATTTTTTTAAAAACAATATATGTTTATTCTGCAACAATAATTCATTTTAGAATTTTAACATAGAATGTTCAAATAACTTACTGTGTCCACACAATGGCTTTTCTTTTTATGAGTATTCCCTGTTAGGAATGAGACTTTCTTCAGTACAAATCAGACATAGAGGTACCCCCACCCCTTGTAAATTACTGTGTACTTTAAGAGTGAAGATAAGTTCTGCTACACACTAATGACACTGCAGTTTACATAAAGGTAGATATGAGAGTTTTCTCTTATAAGTGAGATTCTGGCATATTTCTCTATTTTTGTCAAAAGATCTAATTACAAGAGTTTTGATGCTTTGAAAAGTAAACTGGACTATATGCGAAGCACAGTCAGGGAAAACAGTCAGCATTGTAGTTACCCTAGGATCTTACATCTCATCTCATAATGAAATCAATATTCCTATCTTTCCAGGCTTCTCCAGTTGTGTGTACAAGAACTTCAAACATGGAAGTGGGCTGTTGGTTTACTATAACTTGCAGCTGTAAGAAATGCCCTAGAAACCCTTTCTTCCACTCAGTGTGAATAACTGTCTCAAAATATATAGGGAGTTGCTAGACTCAAAGCTTGGAACAGTGTCCTCTCTGGATGATTGTCTGCTCTACCTTCTCCACTCTGAATAATTGTCTCAGAGTATATGAGAGTTACGATACTCAGTGTTTGGACTAGTGTCCTCTCTTGAGAATGACATGCAGTGAGAAAGATTTTACCACAGAGGTGTTATTGAACACTTCTTAGATGGTCTGGTTTATGGACCTTAAGCTTTCTCGTATACATTTGGTTCTGGCTTCACTTTGAATGAGTAAGGTAGAAGTATTAGTAATGGTGTCTGTAGAGTCATAATTATACAGATCTTAAAGTTCATTTTAAAAACCAATGTAGAAGTTCACTTATGTTGTGAAAGTACAGCACATGACTCATAGAATAAGCATTATGTAAAATATTTCTTGAATTTAATTCCAAAGGCCAATCTGCCTGTTGCTGTTTCCCCAGTCTATACAGTACAATTAGTGTTGTGCATATACAGTGAAAATAGAGGACTATTATGATTTTCTCTGTTTTATAGATGGAGTTGATTGAGGCAAAAGAGCCTTTTATAAGTTTGCCCACCCAGTGTCAAGCTGCTCATTTTATTCAGATCTACAGTTTCAAAAGTCTTAGGCCTTTCATGATGAGACAAGAGTTTGGATCAGTCATGACATGCTGCTTTTGACTGACTTTGACTTTAAATTGTAGTGATAACAGAAACTCCTGGGTGTTTTCTCTTTATTTTGTGGGGGTTTTGATGTTATTATAATTATTTATATGTGGCCACCCATATAAATGTGCACCACTGCATGCTTGTGGAGGTCAGGACAGCATGCAAGAATGGGTTCTTCTACCATGTGGGTTCCAGAATTCAAACTCTATGTCATGTTTGGTGACAAACATCTTTAGTTGCTGAGCCATCTTTTTGGTCAAGACATTTTTAATGTCTTGATGCTTAATTTTGTTTTTCAAACTGTAAATGATGTTTTATATCTCTTAAGACATTGCTTAAAATATTTGAAGCAATTTTCTGGAAAGGCAAAATAAATGTAACAAAGGAATACAATGAAATCTAGTAATTTAATTTTCGTCATGGGTAGTTGTAAATTTTTAGTTTTCAGCAGTGTTTTTCCATGTTTTCACAGAAGCAAATATGTTCCTGTGACTTACATTGTTATTTTGACTCTGATTCAGTCACTATGATATGTGCATATGCATATCTTCTTACATATAATTGTATGTTGATATAAATTGACATATATCCATTTACATTTTTATTAAAAGTAGCTACCATGCCTGGTGTGATGGCACACATCTTTAATCTCAGCACTCAGGAGACAGACCAGCCTGGTGTATATACCAGATTTCAGTACCAGACTCAGATTTCAAGTGACTTTGCAGTACCTACTTAGTAATGTCATTAAGTATTATTTTTATTTTATGTGTATGAGTGTGTTTCCTGCGTGTATGTAAGTGCATTTGTATCATGAAATGCCCATGGAGATCAGAAGAGGTGGTCGAATCCCCTGGAACTGGAGTTACAGATGGCTGTTAGCTGCCATGCGGGTGCCGGGAATTGAACCTGGATCCTCTGCAAGAGCAGCCAGTGATTTTAATCACTGAGCCATCTCTCCAGCCCTGAATTATCAATTTTTAATATTGTTTAATTTGTGTTAAACGTTAACAACAAAAAGCCTGCAGAATTACTGGTGAAATATGAATGAATGAAGTTTCGTATGAGAAAAGTCTTTGAAAATAATATTGTTTAGCTAGGTGTGGGGCTCATATCTATAAACCCTGCTCTCAGGAGGCTAGGGCAGAAGGATTACCATAAGTTTGAGGCCAGCCTTGGCTACAGAGTGAGACCCTGTTTCATAAACATCAAACAGAAAAAGCATTGTTGTTTGAGAATACAGAACTTAGGACAACTTTTTCAGAAATATATTTGTATTTATTCTTTCTTATAGAATGTGACAGTGATGATGCCGTGAGTGTGAAAAGCCCTTCAGTAGAGGAACTCAGATCCACAGAAGGTAACTGGAGTTCGTCTCTACTGTACGCTGATGTATTTTGTTATCTTTTTTTTTTTTTAACTTTTTATGTATATGAGTGTTTGCTTGTATGTATGTATGTGCGCCATGCGTGTGCCTGGTGCCCACAGAGGCCGGAAAATGGCATCAGATCCCTTGGAACTGAGGTTACAAGCAGCTGTAAGCCACCATGAGAATGTTAGCAAACAAACCCAGGTGACCTCTGCAACAGCAGCCAGTGCTCTTAACCACCGAGCCATCTCTGCAGGCCCTCTCATTGTCATTTTTAATTTCTTATGCTTTCACTAACTCCTTACTCCCTCCTTTAAAAAAAGTTTCTCACATAAAATGACTTAAAAGTAAACTACTTTAGAAGGCTGGAACAAGTTAGCACACCGTGGCCTTTTTGCCAAAACTAGTCCAATACCTCCTTTTGTAAATAAAGTTCTAGAAGCACTGTTTTTCCTTGTCTTAAATGAAAAGCTTTTTTCCCCATAGGTTTAAGAGAACTCTTTTTGTAACTTGGCATTATCATTTCTTGACTGTATCACTGTTTGAGTGTGCCATGTAATCATTTTTTTACTTTAGTTTTTCCATAACGAGACTGCATTTTAAAAATAATCATGGAGGAAAAGAATTAATGGATCTTAGAAAAGACCTTTAAGTTTCACTGGAAGAATTTAAAAATATAGTCATGTCTGTTGCAGTGAAGGGAAATAGTCTTATTTGTACTTCATCATAGTGTTGCTTGTTGTTGGCAACTTGAGGCTAGGAATGTGGAGGCTGGAAAGTAGGGAAGGAAATGTGTCTAAACACACAAGCACAATGGCCCAGTGACTTATTTTCTGTGCATTAAAGTGTTGTCTTTCAGTTAGTTTGATCAAGAGCATACTAGAGCTATATGCTGTAAGAGTTTGGGAATTTGACTCTGACAGTGGAATTGATTCATCCTTTTGTTAAATTAGAAAACTGGTCTTTCACTGGGTGTGGTGGTGCACTCTTTTAATCCTAGCACTTGGGAGGCAGAGGCAGGTGGATCTCTGATTTTGAGGCCAGCCTCGTCTACATAGGGAGTTCTAGGCCAGCTCGGGCTACAGAGAGATCCTGTCTCAAAGACCAAAAAAAAAAAAGGAAAATTGGTCTTTCCTATAGTAAACACTCATAGGACACTCATAGGCTAAGCAAAGTTGGCAGAAAATCTGTAGTCTGATTAAAGGCAAGTCCTTTGCACGACTTGTTTTACCAGCATGACTTTAAGGGCTTACTAGCCATGTTATAATTAACTCAACAGTGGAAGAACTTTTATTGAGTTTAAACAGTACCTGTCAGATATACTTTTTGTCGAGACACCTAAAAGATAAACACAGTTGAATAGGAATTCAGTTTTTTTTTTGTGCGGGGGAGGTCTTTTTGAGACAGGGTCTCCCTGTAGCCCCAGCTGTCCTAGAACTCACTATATAGACCAGGCTGGCCTTGAACTCACAGAGATCCGCTTGCCTCTGCCTCCTGAGTGCTGGGATTAAAGGCTTGCACTACCACGCCCGGCTGGCATTCAGATTTTTTTTATTTGCAAACCCATCATTAATTCCAGGAAAATGCCAATCAAAAATCATACTTTTTAAGTGCCCACACATTGGAATTCTTCAGTTTTGTGGACGTCTGACTAACCCGGGAAATCTGAGATGTGTATAACTTGATCTGTTTCAGAACCTCTACCATTTTGTTACTTGTGCCATGCATTTTATGGTTTGGAGAATGAAATTTTGCAGTTTTAGGGTTTCGAAAAGGAATTACTATTACTACTTAAAAATCCAAGTAAAGCACTGGAGATGTAGCTCAGCTGGAAAAGTGCTTGCCTAGCATCCATGAAGCTGTGGGTTTGATTCCCTCGCACTGCACAAGCTTGTAACCAACCCATCATTTCCTGAGCTCCATAGTGAGTTGGAGGCCTATCTGTACTACATGAGACCTATCTCAAACAACAAAACCAAACAAAGAATCCAAGAAAAGATGCCTAAAACTTTACACTAATTTTTATTAACAATGACATGATGTCCATTCATCGAAAATCAGAGGGGCGTGAATGTGTGTGACTGGGTTTATTTCCTGCTGACTTCTGTTAAAGCATGAGGTCCACACAGTGTTCCTTGCAAAGAAATGATTTTCCCACTTTAATAACCTTTTTTTCCCTCATTTCACCTCACAACAAATGGCTCAAATGTCATCTCTTAGCTTAAGTCATATAAAGTTACCATTAAGGCAGTTTTACGTTACTTTAAGATTTTTCTGGGTTTTCATTTTGTTGAGATGTGGTCTTCCAAATTTTTCAGAGTGACTTTGAACTCATTCTCCTGCCTCAGCCTTCCAGGTAGCTGAGATTATAGGATTACACTACCATGCATAGCTGCTTTCCTTTTTTTGGACAAAGTGTAGCTACTATCTGTACAAGGCTACAGTTATACCACACCAAGTACACTTGAAATATGTACATCTGTATCTCACATCTTTACTGAGTTTTTTGAGGGATTAAGATCATGTTTTCTTTCTCCTTCAGAGAACCTTAGTAGAGTGTTTGTCACTAAATGATTGCTTATTGAATGGATAAAGTTATAACAAATGTAAAAACATGTTAGATCCACCAAGACCCCTCTTCCTGTTAAATGGAAAAAGAAAATTAGAGTTTGTTTGGGCAACTTTTAAACCTATTTGTGGAAAAACTGTATTCCTTATTGTTTGATCATTAGGGTCTCTCTGTTCCCTTTGTTTTCAGGTAGTTTTTCACGGATTTCTCAACAAACAAAAGCCACCTCCCTCTGTCTTTCCATATTAGCTCTGTGCTCAAGTCCTCCTTCTGCATCAGTAGTAGAGTTCTTGTTTGCCATGCAGGGAGCCCTGGAATCAATACTCAGCATCCAGTTTGGTGGTGTACACCTGTAATCCTAGCAGCATTTGAGGTAGAGGCAAGAGATCAGAAGTTCAAGTCATCTTTAGGTCCATAGCAAAAAAAAAAAAAAAAAAAAAAAAAAAAAAAAAAATTGAGGCCAGCCTGGGCCATAGGAGACCCTGTTTCTAAATGAAAACAGGAAAGATTTTGTGTAAAGAATGTAAGGGACTGACGATGTAGCTCAGGACTCTCTACTTCTTCCTGCTGGTCCTGGTAACTACTGTATTTCAGCATGGAAAGGACCATGCCTTTTAGCAAAATATCAAAACCAGGTGGGTGGTGGTGGGGAGTCCGTGCTCCTCAGCTCCTCTCTCCCACTCTGGTGAAAGTATTATGTCCTTTCAGGGTTTTTATTTTTTCTTCTGAGATTGCATCCTGTTCTGGGCACATATATGGCTTTCTAAATTCTACAGTACATATAGGCACTTCCATGGGAAATTCTCTTTCTGGATTTTCCTCCCAGGGTTTAGATGGTCTAGTGTATGTGTAACTATTTCTCCCCAATCTGCTATAATTTTTTTGTCTGCCTTATACTCCCGTCCTCCCCACCCTCCCCTGCTGCAATGGATGCTACTTTTTCTCCTGAGTGGGCCCTAAGTTAGAAGAAATAGATATCTGCCTTCTGTTAGTCCTTCAGATAGCCCCACGTTAACACAGACAAACACTGGTGAGATCTGCACTGCTCTTTTTGGAATCTGAGTCAAGGATCCCACACTGGGAGCATGGGCTCTGTCTTTAAGACTGCTGCCAAGTAGGGAAGGGGCAGTGAGGAAGGGGCAAGTAATAACCCCAGAATGCTTTCCTGCTGCCCTTATGTTGTCTTCTCCTTCCCTGTCTCCTAGTCAGCTAAACTTTCTCGCCTTTCAGGTTTCCCATTATTGGTTTGCCCTGGCAGTCTTTGTACCTGTGTATGGAGGTAGGGGGTCATAGCAGGCCCATAGAAGACAGGTTGCAGGAGTCAGACTGTCCTTCCACCAAGGGGAGTCTGGGGGTTGAACTTAGGAGGATTGGCTGTAAGTGCCCTTACCTGCTGAGCATCTGGCTAGCCAACGCCCTGGGAATCTTGAATCCTCTGTGTATGGTGCACTTAGAGGTTCACAAAGGACGTAGAGCTGTAGAGGATCCTGCATTTGTTGCTTTCTTATTTTTCTGGGTCCTCTTCTTCCTTTCATTCCCACTCATTTTCTAGTTGTTCTGGCAGGCCAAAACTCTTACCTTTTGATTCCTTAAGGCATTAAGTAAAGTCTACGTGGATTGGAAAGTGCCAGAGCAAAAAACAATAAAGCCGGAAATTTAATCCTGTGCAGTTTACTTCTCCAGAGGATCAGCTTCTGTCTTGTTTTTATCTGCTTTTAAATTGCTTTCCAGTGCCTTGAAGTACTTTGTATCTATGGGGTAGATTTATTCCATTGTTAATGGAAGTAGAACCATAGAACCATATAGGTGGCTTACATTTTTTTTTTTTTTTAAAGATTCTCACTCTTTAGCTCAGGCTGGCTTAGAATTCATTACACAGCCTAGTCTAGACATAATCTTATAACTATCCTGTCTCAGCCTTACTAAGTGCTGAGATACAGTCATGAGCTACCACATCCCACTGATTTCATCTTTTAAATTGGTGAGTTTAATTCCTATAAGCTTACTGTAGATGATGGTGTTCTGTGTTCTCTTCTGAGACAGCATCTCTCTGTAGCCCCATCTGGCCTGAAACTTGCTGTGTAGACCAGGCTGGCCTTGAACTTACAGAGATCCACCTGCCTCTCCCTTCCAACTGATGGGATTAAAGGAGTGGGTCACCATGTCTGGCATTTGTATTTGTATCTGTTTTTGCTATTTGTTCTAAGCTTCTTCAGTTTTATTTCTGTTCAGGGATTGCCTTGGTATTTTATAAAATGTATTATATATACATATCTTAAACTCAATTATGCCTACATATTGTCCACCTCCACAGTAAAAGGACTATTTCAGATTGCCTCATGCTGTAGCTCAAGCTAGCATGGAACTCAGTCACATAGCCCAGGTTAGCCTGCATCTTGGCTGCAATCTTCCTATATCAGCTTCCCAGGTGCTACGATTCCCAGCTGTAGGAAGAGGACTTCAGGACAGCTAGCTCACTCTGGTGCTCTGTCCTTGGCTTGTGTGCTCTTATTCCCCAGTGTTTTGGTTCTCTGTGTGCTAAAGTGCACACAAAAATGGCACAGAACTTTGAACAAAGTAGGAAGCACTTCTCAGGTTTAAAAGTAGACCATTACTCGTGTGTGTGTGTGTGTGTGTGTGTGTGTGTGTGTTTCCTAGACCTGCCACAGTACAAACCTAGTGCGTTAAAACAACAGAATTTTGTTGTCTCACAGTTCTGGAGACTAGTCATTTGAAATCAAGTGTTCAACAGGGCTGTGTTATCTCCCTGTGCTTTTGTTAGTTTCTGGCAGTTCTCGGTTCTCCCCTCATCCCGTATGTCTTTCCTGCATTTCCACTTGGATATCTTCTGTGTGTCTGTCTTCTGTTGTAGTGTACTATTTTGAATACCCCCTAAAGCAGTTTGAAACAACTGCTGATGTGAAAGTGTTAAGGATTGGCCAGGGGGACTGCTAGGAGCTGATTATTTTTGAGGGCTCTGCCCTTAGAAATGGACTGATATCTATGAGTGGGTTCATTATCTCTTTTTTAAAAAGATTACACTTACTTGAATTTTGTATGCTTGAGTGCTTTGCCTGCTTTTATGTGTGCCACATGCATGCAGTGCCTGTGGAGGCCCAAAGAGCGTAATCAGATCCTCTGGAACTGTAGTTATAGGTGGTTGTGAGTCACTGTGTGGGTGCTGGGAACTGAACCCAGGTCCTCTACAAGAGCAGTAAGTACTCTTAACCGCTGAGCCATCTCTCCAGCCCCAGCATTTAGTATTTTAAATTGGAGACAACATAAAACAGGAACTCCCCCTCAGGAAAATACAGCTATATCCTAGAGGTTTCACTGGTGTCTGGAAATCCAGTAGACCCGATGGGAAAAGATGACACACTATGCAGGGCCAAACGAATTGACTGCTAGTTCTACTCTCCTGGATTCTAGCTTCATTTCCAGGAAGATAAAGACCTGTGAAGCCAGTGGTTCTTGTCCTGTTCACTATTCTTTCTTGTGTGTATGTGTGTTTGTGTGTGTGTGTGCACGTACGTGTACCCATATGTGCCCCTGAACCAGATCTTGCCATTTTGGCTACACTGGTAGCAGCAAAGTCCCTGGGATTTCTCACTGAATCGTCTGCCCATCCCCAGTACTGATAAATAGTGGGCATTGTGTGTGTAGCTATGAATCTCATTCTACCTTAGATATTACAAATCAAAGCTAATTTCCCCCAAGCTTTATTGAGGTATAATTGACAAAAAAGTAAATAAAATGTTTACTTTTCTACCTTTTTTTTTGAGATGGTCTCACTGTTCAGCCCTCACTGTTCTGGAACTTGCTGTATAGACAAGGCTGGCCTCAAACTCAGAGATCTGCTACCTCTGCCTCCCAAGTTCTGTGATTAAAGGTGTGTGCCACCATGCCTGGATTCTGTTTCTTTTTTAAATTTAATTTTCTTTATTGTGTGTTGTGTGTGCGTGTGGGGGTCAGAGGGCAATTTTCAGGAGTTGGTTCTCTCTTACCATGTGGGACCTGGGGATCAAATAACGTATGACTTGGTGGCATGCACCTTTACCCGCTGAACCATCTTGCAGCTCCACCGTTTATATTTATTTGGATCATCCTAAGGCTTTTAAGAAATAAGTGGTCTTTTTAGTGCTGGAATAAGTTGTTCTATGTTAGTGCTACTAAAGTCTGTTATTTCTCTATACCCAAATAAAGTTGTAAGCCCCTTAGCATATTTAAGTTCATATATAAAGTTGAACTTGAGATCATACCTAGATTCTCATATTTCAAGGCACTCAAATATTAACAAGAAACTCCACTGTGTCATAAGTTCTTGCATTTCAATTTTCTTTTCTTGAAAAGATGGATATAGTTGATAAAACTTAAAGCACATGTTGATTTTGAAGTTTTGTTTTTAATGCAGATGTGGAATTAGAAGAAGCTATCAGGAGAAGTCTTGAAGAAATGTAATTAAAGATACTATCACACAACATCAAGTGACCTTGAAGAGACTCAGGATATAATGAATTCTTGACCTTGTTTTCTAAAGGAGCCTGGAATGCTACTAGGACAAATGTATCTGAAAACATGGGTTTTTTTTTTCTTTCATATGTTCAGATCTGTATATCTGCTTTGTATTTTTGTGCTGTTATGTAAATTTGAATGGAGGAGAATACATGCCAATGCACAAATAAAGCATATATTCTAATATATGTGTGTCAACATTTTTCCAGCTGATTTAGAATTTATGTTTAGGTTAAAAGCATTTTCAAAAAGGACAAAAAAAGTAAAGCTCTTGACTGTTATTTGTTTTCCAGATAGCACTAGTTCTTTGATTTTATTTGTACTGAACAAATTGTTCTAGTTTATTTTTTTAGGAATGAAAATGAATATAAATAAAAGGTGCCATAACTCAGTTTTCCTGAAATTGTGTGTGTTATGTGGCCCAAATGTATAATACCTTTGAGATCCTTGTTATGATTATTAGAAAAGGGTGATAGAAATTGATCATGGAAACATTAAAAATTTACTAGTGATGTTCTTTGTGAGTATCCTGTAATATTTTTGCTTTAATTAGAGCAGCATATTGTTGCAATTAAAAAAAACAAAAAGCCAGGCATGGTGGTACACACCTTTAGTCCCTGTACTCTGTAGACAGAGGCACGTGGATCTCTATGAGATCGAGGCCAGCCTGATCTAGATAGTGAGGTCCAGGCCAGCTGGGTACCAGAAGACTCTGTCTCAAGAAATCAAAATGGATCAAAAACCAAATAAATGCAAACCTTTTCCACTCCAATCTACTCAGGAATAATCTTTAATTCTTTAAAACTTTCATATGTACTGTCTTCATTTAGTTATTCATTGACTTTTCTATTTTCTACATTTGGTGACAAAATTCTTAAGTGTTGAGGCTCCACTATGAATAAAAATTTGCATAATCAGAAGACTAAAAATGTCATATTATCTTGATCTGCATGTTTCATGTTGGTCAGAAATGTCAAGGAAAATTTTGAGTAATTATTGTCAGTGTTAAAAATACTATTTCTTGGGGGCTGGAAAGATAGTGTAGTGGTTAAGAACACTGACTGTTCTCACAGAAGAAGACCCGGGTTTGAATCCCAGCACCCACATGGCAGCTAAGAGCTGTCTGTTAACTCCAGTTCCAGGGGATCCGGTGGCCTCTTCTGTTCTCTGCGGGCATTGCATGACACGGGTGCACTTACCTACATGCAGGCATGCACGCATACACATAAAAATGATAAATAAAAATACTATTTCTCTCTGGGCATGACGACTCACACCTATAATTTGAGCACTCACAAGGCAAGAAGATCATCCAAGGGTTTCATGCTAGTTTGGGCTATGGTTGAGACCCTGTCTCAAAAAAACAAAACAACAAAAAATTTATATTTAGGACAGAAAGATATGGATGGAATTTTGTGCTTTCTTGGCAACACTGGGTATTTTAGTATGAAATAAAATTAATGGTCTTCTCAGTCCATACTAGATATCTTTTTTTAAATGTTACTTTTTGCGCTAGGTAAAGTACTTACCTAAGATACATGTGGCCCCAGCTTCAATCTCCAGTACTGCTTTAAAAAAATAAGCAGCCAGGCATGGTGGCGCACGCCTTTAATCCCAGCACTGGGGAGGCAGAGGCAGGCGGATCTCTGTGAGTTCAAGGCCAGCCTGGTCAGCTGGGGCTACAGGGAGACCCTGTCTCAAAAAGACCAAAAATAAAGCTTTCGTCCCTATGTGCGTTTTTGTTTTTGAGAATGCATCTTACTGTGTTGCTTAGGTTAGAACTCAGTGTGTATTACAGAGCCTAGACTGGCCACTAACTGTCCTCCTGCCTCTACCTTCTGAGTACTCTTTGCCAAGCCAGGTGTGGTGGCGCACACCTTTAGTCCCAGAACTTTGAAGGCAGGGCAGGTGGATCTCTGAGATCCAGGCCAGCTGGGAGACTCTGTCTCAAAAATACAAACAAAAGAATCAAGTATTTTCCCCATGCCTACCTACTTAATTTTTTGTTTTTTAAGTAGACAGTATAGCTTGACAATTTGTTATTCACATCTGCAAAAATGACCAGATTGCAGTATTGGTTTATTGTTTCGTTCTGTTTGTTTTTAGATGGAGACATTATGTACCCCAGGCTGCTTTTCCTGTTAAAGTGTCAAGCACAGACTTAAGAGGTGATCATCATGCTTGACCTTAAACACATCTGCAGGAGCTTCCTAAGCAGGGAACAAAAAGGGCAGCTCAGAAAGGAGAGTACTTAAGCAGATGTGGAGGAGGAAGAAACGGCACTTTGCCAGAGAGTCCATGTCCAGGAGGGGTATACATTGACAGTCTGTTAAGAAGCTTTTGTGTTAGGTGTGTAGCTCAATGGTCGAGTGCTTGTCTAGCATGCCTAGGGCCAGGGGTTCAATCCCAGCAGTGCCCATGCACACCTACACACAGACCATTTGTGGTGTGTGTATGGTAGAGAGCAGGTGAATCTTTCAATTTGACATTTCACTGTGACAGTTAAGAAAAAGGTAATGGTGTTCTTTAATGTGTTGATAATTGTCACTTTCTGCTCATTAAATAATTTTGAAACATTTCATAATTTGAATTTAGGAGAATCATTAACAAAATTATGGATTATTAGAAGTAGTTCTAATATTGATTAAAAAATATTTTTCCATTGCATCATTAATGCAAAGGGTATTCAGTATCTGCTAAGTGCCAGAACTGATTTAAGCACATGAGATATAACTTGTGATTAAAAAAAAAAAAGCCCCCATCCTCTGTGGAACGCCTGTGTGCGGGAAGATAGTTATAGAGACAGTGTTCAATAATGCATAAACAAGCAAACCTGGACCTTAAAGGAAGGGAATGATGGTACAGTGCTGACTAGGTTTACCTGCAACATTGGGGATTGAACCTAGAGCCTCACATATGCTAGGCAAGTGCTCTACCACTTAGCTGTGCACAGTCTAGGATTATTTTTTATTGTTTTGAGACAAGGTCTTGCTCTATAGTCCAGGCTAGCCTTGAACTCAAGATCTTCTGCCTCAGCTTCCTGAGTGGTAGTATTACAGACATGTACTCACTATTCTCAGCTCAGACTCATTTTTAATAGAATATTCAGGAAAAAGTCCATTGATAGGCGAACATAAGCAAACACAAGGGATTAGTCGTGTAAAATACATATAAGTAGCTGGTCCCTGACTTGTGATGGTTCAACTTGGGATTTTGCAAGTTTTCTCTATGATGAGCTACTGAAGGGTTCTGTGTGGTATGGTTGACTTCTTTGGTTACTGATTGAAGATTTGCATGAGAGATCAGATAGAAGCTGGGAGGTCAGAGAGGGTACTGCAAGTCATCCAGCTGCAGGCTGACCTGGTAACTTGAACAAGAGGGTGACTGGAACTGGAAGTCAAGATATGTTCTGAAGGTAGAATTATGATTTACTCATGGGTCAGATCTAGGATAAGAAAGAGTGAAAGGGTCCAGAATGATTCTAGTCACATGGTACTTTTCAGTACTGCAGACTGAACCTGTAACCAAATGAACACAATGGGTTCATGCCTGAGGATGCAAAACCGAAATAAAGCACAGCCAAGACATAGGAGTGCAGACCTTACTGCTACCAGCAGCAGGCTGGGAGAGCTCTGAGTCAGTTCCAGAGCAGTGCTCTCACCAGACAGGAAGCAGGGGTATTGCATTAGCCTATACCTATTCATATAGGGGTCTGCCCATCCTAAGCATGCTCAGTTTGAGGTCATAATTTAAAATGAAAAGACAGTAGACACATTTTTAGCATGCTTAGCTGATGGAACATAAATGTATGTATGGAAATGGCACTGGGCAAGCTCAGTTTGCACCACCACATTTTAGCCAAAAATAAAAGACCTTACTTGAAGGTACATTGATACTGAAATGTGCACCTGAAGATTCTGCCTTAATTTTAACAAACGAGCGCCCAGATGCTCTGCCACTGAGCTGTGTCTGCAAACCCTTTCACTTTCTGAGACAAGCTCTTGCTAAGTTACCCAGGCTAGCCTTGCACTCACTCTGGCCCAAGAAGGACTAAACTTTGCGATCCTGTGTCAGCCTCCAGAGTAGCTGGTGTTACAGGCTTGCACCAAGCAAGCCTACACTGTAAAACATTCACGAAATGTGTTTGGATTACATGTTTGTCATAAAATGACAAAGTGTTTATGAGGTCAGATAATCCACCAAGAATTCATTCTATAAAAAGTTCAGGCGGGGCTAGTATCTGATCAATAATTTAAATGGCTTTAATTTATTAAAGGTGGTGGTTCCGCTTCAAATTTACCATCTTCTGCCCTGCATGCAGAGAGCGGAACAAAACTTTAAGGAGACAAATGTTATTTCCAGGCTTACTCCCCCCTTTTACTGATGGAGGGGGTCTGCTGACTTTTATTCACAGGAGTAGAGTGTGAAGTGACTTTAATTTTAGTTATTTTACTCAAATTACAACCTTTTTAATATGAAAAATAAAAATCCTTTAACTAGAAAGCATAAGGCGACCCACCTTGCTCTATTCATCAGAAGGGAAAGATGGGGTAGCATTTCCTCTTACCCAGGCTTCCACTGAATTCCTCTTAGGAAAGTGACTGGGAACCTGACAGCTGGGAAGGTGGACTAGAAAGTCTTCCAAGAGTGAGCCAGCAGCCTGGCCCGCCTCAGTGGGAATGGCCTCGGCCTCGCTATACATAGGGGCCGGTGCGGGCACCCCTCCTCAGTGCGGGGGTCAAGCAGGCCTAGGGCCGGGCAGGGATCTCCCCTCGGCGTGGTGGCCGGGGCGAGGACCCCTCCTGGGGCGGCGAATCCTCCGCATAGAATTCTTCACCATCGAGTCCTCTCAGTGCCGGGACCCCACCCCGGCACAGCCGTCCCCCTCCCCCCGCGCAGCCCGGTCCTCGACGCCTGCCCTTGTTTGGCCGCGCACGGGCGGGCGGCTCTCACGGTCCGCGTCACAGGCGGACGCCCCGCGGTGACGGCGACGTGCGGCCGCCCTGAGCGCGGACCTGGAGCTCATGGCCCAGGCGAAGATCAGCGCCAAGGCCCACGACGGCCGCTTCTGCCGCTCCTCGTCCATGGCCGACCGGTCCAGCCGCCTGCTGGAGAGCCTGGACCAGCTGGAGCTCCGGTGAGTCCGGGAGGCCCCTGCTGGAGCGCTACACAACTTCCAGAACCTTCGGTGGTCCTGTGCGGTTGGCCTGTTTCCATAATACGCTTTGGTGGGGACGCGAGTGGAGGGGCCTGATTGGTAGTTTCTTTGCTCCGTACTACTTCACAGCAGAAAATAAGGGGATGCCCGGGCGCCCGCCTGCCGGCCCCGCGAGTCCGCAGGAGAGGGGGCAGTGGGTGTGGGGGCTCCGCACACCCCGCACCTCCAGCGAGTGCACCCAGCCCTTCGCGGGTGCCTCGGACACAGTGATTCCTGAAGGAAGCAGCCTTGTAGCAGAATGTGAGGTACCTTTGGTGAATTCTCCTCCCTCAGCAGTGTATGAAAAGTTTTATGTGCTCCGTGTAAACGTTCAGCTCTGAAAGTTGTGCCGCAAGTTTGGCTGTGTGCAGTGGTTAAGTGCAGGTCTTACCAAGGCACCCCCAATCTCCTGACACTCTAAGGACATTTTGTACCTAGTTTGCGCACGAGCAGAGTATGTGAGCTTAAGAGCTGTGTTGGCTTCCTTCATTCATTTGCCAAAACATAGGAAAGTAGATGTTGGCCAAGAAAATACAGCGGTATTTATTACAAGTGAGGCGATTATTACTACTACTAGGAGAAAGAACCAGAGAGTAGACGTTTTCCATCCGCAATAATTTCAGAAATCTGGGCCCTGCACCAGGTGCGGGCTGTGCCCAGAGACAAAGGAGAAGCCCTGTTGCTGCCTGGGGAAGAGTTTACAAACCCCGGGGAAAAGTGGCCTCAGCTTCAGACCCCTCTGGGGAAAGCAGAGTATTTATTTTCTTTTTATGTAGTAGTGTAGCCGGCACTCTCTGGAATGCTAACCGAGTAATCTCACCAGGTCAGAAGATTTTTTTTTTTTCTGGAAGGGTTGAGGAGTCAGTGCTCTTCTGAAGCTGAGTCATTGTCCTCAAACTTGAATTAATGCCTCCCATGTGGTAGGCCCCAAAGCACTCAGTGCTCCTCTTGAAAATGTCTGGTTTTGTGTAGTACTGCATTCTACTGTCTGATTGATGTGACATGAATTCTGGTTACTGCACAGAAGTGATTAAATTGTGTTACTTAACAGTTCTGCAGAGGAGAAAATTCTGATTAATGTTCAAGGACTTTACTAGTAACTTCAGACTTCTGTAAATTGTTTCTTCCTTTAAAATGTGATGCCATGGTGCATGTCTTTAGTCCCAGCATTAAGGAGGCTGAAGTGGAGCAGCACAAGTTTGAGGACAGCCTGGACCCTTAGTGCGATCTCACCCCAACAAAACAAAACAAAAACTGTAATGACATCAAAAAGCAAGTGTGTCAGAGGTAAGTGGGAACAGAAGATGCTGTTCTGTTCCTAGTAAGGTTTGGGAGCCATTTCTTGAATGGCTTGGGCAGTGTCACAGAGCACTGTTGTGTTAAGAACTATCACAGAGCGCTAGTGTTAAGAACTAGACTCACCTGGTATGATGGCACAGGCCTTTAATCCCAGCACTGGGGAGGCGGAGGCAGGAGATCTGTGAGATCCAGGCCAGCCTGGTCTATATAGTGATTTCCAGGCCAGCTGGGGCTACAGGGAGACCCTGTCTCAAAAAGCAAAAAAGAAGAGCAGCAGACTCATGTGCACAGATTAGGAAAGGATGGAGCTCATGTCATGTTTTAATACCTTGATTTTGTGTTAAATCTGATTAATGAAGTAGTAGACTTTTGCAAGACATTAGTTTGTAGTTAGAAATAGGCATTGTTTGTTCAGTCACACTAAGTCTGTGGTGTGGAAGAAACTGCTCCCTTAGGAAACTGAACTATACCAGATGCTGTCTTGGAGTATGAAGTCTGTGGTCTGAAATGCCTGAGAATACTTGGTCCAGTTTTAATTGAAGGTTTTTCATTTGTTTTAATACTTTATAATCAACTACACTAGCCTTAAATTTAAAAACTACTTTTGACTACAACTCATCTTCACTGCTTCCTCCTGAGATGATTCCTTCCCATCATGACTTTCATGACGAATTTATAGTGTAGGCATTTTGTACTTGGTGGCTAGATACCCTAATTATTGCTACTTAACAGTTATACTTTCTAATTCATGTTAGCATCTCTCTGTATGCCAGGCCTCATGTTTGTGAAAGTTACCATTATCTGTATTCTACAAGTGAGAAATTGAAGCTAATGACTTGTCTAGAGTTGCAGGTGAGTTTACACTTCAAATTTGAATGTGTGAAGACTAGTTCTACAGATTAACACGATATGCCAGAGTTCAATATAGCATTCTTAAAACTGTCAGATATGTGAGAAGTATGATTTTACTGAAAGAAAATTCAGCATTTAATTCAGTAAATATTTAACACTCAATATAGGCTAAGTACTGAGTAGTTTCTAGAAGCTCAGGGTGATAAGGAAGCTGCTTGGGAGTTGGGTTTTGGAGATTGGCAGAGAGGGAGATGGCAGGACTGGGAGATGTTCACACATGTCCCAAAATTGATCACATGGTGGGTGGCTCCTTCCTGGCTCCTTGTGCAGCTGGGAATAATGATTGTGGGCAGAGGCTTGGGAAGTGAGCCATTCCCCTGGCTTGGAGGTTCTTACAGCTCAAGGTTTCTTGTTGGGTGTGCCAGTGTTCCAGAACTCAGCAAGATGGCACCATGCTTAATGTTGAATAACAGCCCATAATTTAAGAGCACTTTTCACATGCATCATAGTTGAGCCTTATAACCATTTGAGAGAGGAGGAGAGCATGTGTTATCTGTTTTAGAAATGAGAAAACCAGCCTGGGGCTGTAGCTCAGTTGGTAGAATGCTTGTTTAGCATACACAAAGCCCTAGAGTCAATCCCTGGTGGCATAAAACCAGCAGATAGTAGTGCACGACTCTTGACTCCAGCACTGGCCTGTAACCCTAAAGACAGAAGACTCAGAAGCTCAAGGTCATCCCATAGCAAGTTCCAGAGCAGCCTGAGATACATGAGACTGGGAAAAGAAAAGAAAGGCAACTGAGGTCCAAAGGGACTGGGCACCTTGCCTATGGCTGGAGTACTGATAGCTAATTCTGAACACTGAATAAAATTTAACATTTTGATGAGTAGGAAAACTCTACTTTCCCAACAATCTTTAAGTGAACACTGCAGCAGTTTTTTGCTGCAGGACTTTCACATAGAGACTGGTCTCTGACTTTAAGAACTTGTTTTGGAAATTATTCAAATAAACACGTGGATATGAGCATTTACCATTCCTGTTTTAAAGAAAACAAAATTCTGTTGCTAGTAAATGAGCTTATGTTCATGGTGGTAAGTATACAACAACCCCCCTGAAAATAACATGCCACACCATACATGTTGCTTGACCCGTATGTGCAGTGTTTTAGTCAGTCTCTGTTAAACTCTTCTACTTTGCTTCATTCAGTCACAGCCACCTTCTTACCCATTTCCTGGGTGAGGAAATGGTGGCTCAGAGAGCGCTAACTCCTCCAAGCTTTGCCAGTTTTTGCTATTTGGTGAGCCTGTCTCAGTAGGCACTGTTGACATCACCTGTGTACCTGTCCTCGTTCCCACCAGTTTCTCCTCTTTTCCCTCCACTGCAGACTGGTGAGCCTGAGGGTTGGGACCAGCTGAGGATGCATGTGCTCCGTCCACATGAAAATTTGTAATTAAATCATTTTTGTCAAAGCCTGCTTAGTTGTGATATTGCTGCTTTTCTCTGGGTGTGGCCCAGGCCAGCCTAATAAGAGGACAAGCTCTTTCCCAATTTGGACTGTAGCTGCTTCCAGGATCTGTTAGTACATATAGACCAGCCCCTCGCTGTCAAGAGAAGTGTAGTCAGATGAGAAGTTAAGAAACACAAAGGATAAAGGGAGATGGCTGAATACTCTTGTCTGTCTAACCAGAATTCTATAGAATAGAAAGACAGGCAGTTTTCAAAGATGCAGTTACTAAGAATCTGCTCAAACTAATGGAAAAGCTACATAGACCAAAAAAAAAAAAAAATTGTGAACTGAGTTTAAATATAGCAGTAGTTTACAAACAAAACAAATATTGAACAAGCAAAGTATGAACTTGGTTCAATTTTCAAAAGAAAAAGTTGAGCATATAAGATGTAGTTCCTAGGCTATGGATATTCCTCAGTTGGTAGGGTGCTGGCCTGGCATGCATGAAGCCCTGGGCTTAATCCCCAGTACTGCATAAACCAGGTGTGGTGGTGTACAACTGTAATCAGCACTCAGGAGGTGGAAGCAGTAAGATCAAATATTCAAGTGTGTTTCAGGCTAGCCTGTTTCAAAAGTAGTTCTTATGCTAAACAAATGAACGCTGCCAAAGGAGATGTTAATTTCCTTAAGGGAAAGGAAGGGCTAAGTTGTTAACAGTTCCTGCCCAGGTGTCAGGAAGAATGTTGTAGGAAGGAGTACCAAATGAAAGGCTCATGATGTATGTGTGTGTGTGTCTATGTATATATGCATGTAGGTATGTATGTGTCTATATGCATGTTGTGTGTACTGCACCATGGCAATTTTTATTATGTTATCAAGCCCATCAAGAAATATAGAGGGGCTAGAGAGATGACTCAGTGGTTAAGAATGCTGGCTGCTTGTACAGAGGACCCAAGTTCAGTTCCCAGCACCCATCTGGTAGCTAACAACTGTCCATAACGTCAGTTCCAGAGGGTATGATGCCCTCTTCTGGCCTCTGACATAGCTGCACTTACATATACATGCAGGCCTAACATTTGTACACATAAAATAAAAATTAAAAAAAAATATTTTTTAAAGTGTTAACAGGAAAAAAAAAAAAACGGCCCATCGCAAAACTCAAAAGTTTTCTCTTTGTTTTCTTCAGTGCTGGGGGTCAAACTCAAGACTGTGCAGATTTGGGCATGTTCTGTACCACAAGACTACTTCCCCAGCTCAAAGTAGCTTCTTTATATACAGACAAGGGTTCTTTTCTAGAATGTCTCCTTTTTATGTTTTGGTAACAAGCCCACATACTTACTGCTATAACTTACTATTATAAATGAACCCTTTTCAGAAGAGCATTCCCTTCTCTTAATCATCTTAGATTTAATACAACCTCAAGAGCTGAAAATTTACCCATCACATGACTGTACATTGCATTCTTTATCCCAACACCGGAGTCATGATTAGTATTTTTATATTTGCAAACATTTCATATTCGCACCAGCTCAGCTTCTTTCACACCTACTAGGCTCTAGTTTCTCTGCCAGAGTACGAGAATGTAGAACATTTCATAAATAATGAATGGCGCTGGAAGAGGGCCTGTTGGTGCATTACCAGTACTTTATAACGTTTACTTTTCAGCCAAATTTGTCACATACAATTCTTAGCTTCTTTTACTGGCACTTATAAACAAGGTTTTAGACATTTTTAAAAGAATATTTTGGGCTGGAGAGATGACTCAGCGGTTAAGAACACTGGTTGTTCTTGCAGATCCAGGTTCGAATCCCAGCACCCACATGGCAGCTAACAACTGTCCATAACTCCAATCCCAGGGGATTTGACAGCCTCTTTTGACCTCTCTGGGCACTGCACGACACGGGTGCACTTACCTACATGCAGGCAATACACGCATACACATAAAAATAAAAATGAATAAATTTTTTAAAAAGATTTTTAAAAAAGAATATTTTATTATTTTACTTATTTTGTGTGTCTGAGTATATTGCCTGCATGTATGTAAGTGTACCGGTGTCGTGTAATGCCCTCGGAGGTCAGAGGAGGGTGTTGGATCTCCTGGAACTGGAGTTACAGAGGGTTAGCCACCATGTGGGTGCTAGGACTTGAACCTAGGTCCTCTGGAAGAGCAGTCAGTGCTCTTAACTGCTGAGCCATTTCTCCAGCCCCGGGTTTTTCACAGTTTTAACGTCTTCGAAAATAAAGGTTGTTACACCTGTCAGTGCTATTTTTGGGGTTCACAGGTAGATGACATGGGACAATCTTGTCATAAATATGTCCAATTCTCCCAATTTTTTTAAAGAAAGTAAACTCACTGTACAGTTTATGTGGAGGAATAAAGGTCTATCAATAGCTAGGTTATCTTTACACAAGATTGAGAGGCGGCTAGTCTACCAATAATTAGGCATAATACAAAGGCGATGCTCTAACAGTGGTCTGAGGCAAGGACAGTGAGCATACTGATGTATGGAAGAGATCTCAGAGGTATGCTTTCTATCAGGACAGAGGACTGTGTAAATAATTTTAAGGAAAAATGGCTCCCTATTTAGTTGTTATCTAAGCATGAGAGTATATTCTAATAGGATACAAAACAAACGTGAGGAAGCCAAAACTGTAAATAAAACATGGGAAAATATTAGAACCCAGAGGTGAGTAAAGCCGCTAAAACTTCCAAAGTACAATCATGAGGCAAAACAAAAAAAGATAATTAATGGGTTAGAGATGGCTTAGTGGCTAAGAGCTCTTGCTGTTCTTACAGAGGACCTGAGCTCAGTTCCTGGCCATGCAAGGTGGCTTACAATTGCCTGTAACATCAGTTCCATGGGGATCCTACGCCTCTGACCTCAGTAGACATCTGCACTCACGTGCACATACACATACCTCTACGTGTAATTAAAAATAATAAAAATCTTTTTAAAAAAGATAATTAGGGGCTGGAGAGATGGTTCAGCAGTTAAGAGCACTGACTGCTCTTGCAGAGGACCTGGGTTTGATTCCCAGCACCCACATGGCAGCTACAAACCATCCTTAACTCCAGTTTCAGAGGAATCCGAAACCCTCTTCTGACCTCCACGGCATTGCACAACACAGGTGCACTCACATACTGCAGGCAATACACTCATACACATAAAAATAAACAAAATATAAAAAGATTAATCACATCAAAATAAGGATCTCTTCCTACCGCACAGGAGTCTGAGGCGGGAAGACTTCAAGTTTGGGGCCAGCCTGAATTGCACAATGAGTCTCAAAAAATAAAGATCTCTTAACTGGGTGTGCAAACACTTGCCTGTAATCCCAGGTCCTGAAGAGGCCGAAGCTGGAGGATCCACAGCCCAAGCCATCCTGGGCAACATAGCATGAGTTTATATATAGCAGGGGTTTATCTCAGTAGAAAAAAATGTATCTGTTCAGTGAAGGCCATCCTAACAAAGCTCACATAGGACAAGATGGCAGGAGACTACTGTGTTGCCTATAAGGAATTAGTATCTCATCTCAAGTGTGCAGATTTGTACTGTAGTTGTTGACATGAACGACATGAGTGTTCAGAGCAGAGAGAAATATCAGAGTGCTGTACACACAGCACACTGCAGCATTCAGGCTACTGATGAGATGTATGCTAGACGCTAGGTGGTAACCAAGTAAGAGTGAAACGAAGATAGAAATTTAAAATGCAGATAATACCGATTTTTTAAAGAACAGATTCAAATAGATTAGCACTGACTATAACCATCACCCCATGTGCAGGGAAGAAAATGGAGGTGCAGCAAGTGGATGATTAAAGAGGCAGGACTGCTATGATTTCGAGGCCAGCTTTTGAGACCCTATCTAAGAAAATAAAGATCCCGTAAGAATTTTAAAATACAAAGAAATTAAGATTTTTTTAAAGCTTCCCTAATTATATTTAAACTTAAGCTGGTTTAAATGACAGGTAAAGAAACTTATCCATATATTGATGGTTTAATTTTCCCCTTTCACACAGGGTTGAAGCTTTGAGAGAAGCAGCAACTGCCGTTGAACAGGAGAAAGAAATCCTTCTGGAAATGATCCACAGTATCCAGAACAGCCAGGACATGAGGCAGATCAGTGATGGTGAGAGCTGAGTCCACGAAAGTGGCTTGTCTTACCCTTCCCAGGGAATTTGCAACAAACGGGGGTTAATTTTTGCCTAACTTTTGGTGTGGCTACTCTAGGCTTCCACATTAAAAATGAGCTTGACAACAGCTGTGGCTCTCATTCTGTGACAGCAGGCACAGTCTGAAGAGGTCATTGTTCCATGAGCTCTCCTCCCCCACAGTGGCTGGGATGACAGGAAAAGACCTATAGGCTGCAGAGGGCTGACCACTAACAGGAAGACCGGGCAGCTTACCTGGGGCCACAGTTCTTAACAAGGTGCTAGCTGCAGGACATTTAAAAGCAGAGGAAAAAGGTAGAAGTGAAGGCAGAGAAGTAGAAATCCGATGGTCTGTGGTGCAACTTAATAGGAAAATTCACATAAAATGTGCAGCCCCAGTCACATGAAGAAGATGGCTGCCTGTGGAGGAGGGGGCCACTTGAGGTTTCCTCTCATCAGTCCTGAATGTCTATCTGGTTGATTTCCTGTGATGCTTCACAGGACAAGCCAGTGGGCCAGGTAGCTGGGGAGATACGCAGTTCAACTCCAGAGTCAAACATGCCCACCAACAATGGGTCATTCCTAGTCTGTGTCTTATCATCATAGCCAAAAGATGAATCGTTAGAGTTATGGAATAGGATAGAAAACTGATTGTTTCATGTAAATCTTGAAATGTTAACAAAGTGTCCTTTGCCACCATTGCTTCCTTATGCTGGCCAAGACAGCCTGTGGCCTTCTGCAGTGAGTGTATTCTGATAACACACAACCTTTGTGCCAATCCAATCTCCACTCTTCCCCAGCATGAACCCTGTATCCTGCTTGCTCTGAGTTGACTTGATTTCCATCCCAGTTCCAAATGCACCTGCCCAACATGTGGACATGCAGACTTGGGGAGCTATCTGTGTCACACGGGTGAAGCTCTTCAGGGAAAGGCACTCTGTGACTTTGCTCTCGTCTTCTACTTTTTGGTATTCTATATACTGTAGCATTAGGGTCTCTTTCAAAAATTCACACAAGTGCTTACAGAAAATAAAGCAAGCTCTAACCGAATGTCTCCGCAATCCTGGTATGGATCAGCTTATGTCTCATACTGACTGATGTTTCACAACTTTTCATGTTTAGGAGAAAGAGAAGAGTTAAATCTGACTGCCAACCGTCTGATGGGCCGAACCCTCACTGTTGAAGTTTCAGTAGAAACGATTCGAAACCCTCAGCAGCAAGAATCCTTAAAGCACGCCACGAAGATTATAGATGAGGTAGTCAGTAAGTTCCTGGACGACTTGGGAAATGCCAAGAGTCATTTAATGTCACTGTACAGTGCTTGTTCATCTGAGGTGCCACCTGGTCCAGTTGATCAGAAATTTCAGTCCATAGTAATTGGTTGTGCTCTTGAAGACCAGAAGAAGATTAAGCGAAGATTAGAGACTCTGCTTAGGAATATTGATAACTCTGACAAGGCCATCAAGCTACTAGAGCATTCCAAAGGAGCCAGTTCCAAAACTCTGCAACAAAACACTGAAAACAAATTTAACTAGTCTTCAAACATATGGGCCCTTACAAATAATGATGTGAAAAAAGATAAAATACAATCTTAAGTGATACTAGTTCTTTATGTCAGGCATAACCACTTATTTGATACTGATAATTATTTCTGATGAGGAAATAATTCCAGTGTCAAGTTATTTAAATAACAATTAAAACTAGAAATACTTCAGGTTACCTATTTCAAAGTTTTTAGATTGGATTCTTGTGTTGTACTAGAACCTAGCAGTATATATTTACCTTCGGAAGATAGCATGGGGCGGGGGGGGATAAATGCCCAAACGGGGTAAATATACCACTGCTATTTCCTACTTTGGCACGGAGGCAAGCTGGCACTGAGCAGTGCACTCACAGCACACAGTGCCTCAAAGGATAAACATAGCAGAATGTTGCCCTGTATGTTCTCAGTTTTTTAGGCATGTGTTCATTTATACATCTCATAACATGTATTTTTACATATGTGGAAGCATGGCATAGAATCTGTGCAAATCTTTTATTTTTACCACTGTAAACAGTCATATCCACCTGACCTCATTTTTTTCTTTTAAATGCTGCCTTGAAAATCTGTTTACCAACCTAAAAACCTCTGCTTATGTGCTTGCACCAGTTTACTTACTCCATCCACCTCTCCTTAGTCACTTGGAACATATTTATGTACACAGAGCTTTATTCTTTGTTTTTATTCTTCTTTGTATAAATTTCCACTAATGGGTTCACTGGGCCAAAAATGATATATACATTTTCATGGCCTAAAAACATATTTCTAAATTTTTTCTAAGTTATATCAATTTATACTGTACTAGTAATTAAAAGAATCCATTTCACTGAACTCTTTCTAGCCTTGGGCATTAATTTTCTGTCATTAGACACAAAACACCTCAATTTAGTTAACACCTTATTTACTAACAAGGATGACCACTTTAATAAACCTTTTTTATTTACTTATTTTTTAAATATTTATTATTTTTTTAAGTGTATGCGTGTATTGCCTGCATGTAGGTAAGTGCACCCGTGTCATGCAATGCCCATGGAGAACAGAAGAGGCTACCAGATCCCCTGGAACTGGAGTTATGGACAGTTGCCATGTGGGTGCTGGGATCTGAACCCGGGTCTTCTGCAAGAACAGTGTTCTTAACTGTTGAGCCATCTCCCAGCACCAATAAACCTTTTATCCTTGGTTAATAAGGCAACTACAGAACACTTGTTAGAAGGAAACGGTGCTGACCAGATGTGATAGGCTTTTTAATCCCAGCACTTGGGAGGCAGAGACAGGCGGACCTCTGTGAGACTGAGGCCAGCCTGGTCTACATAGCAAGTTCCAGGCAGCTGGGGCTACAGAGACCCTGTCCTAAAAAACAAAAAGTAAACAGTGCTGGTGACACAAAAACCTCAACAACTACCACTTTGAATTATTTTAGACTCACTTTTTATTAGCATATAGATATTTTTCACTCCAAAAGACAAAAGATCTAGATAGGTTTTTGTTCTCACTGCAAACAATATTAAACTGAATTTTCTGTACCAAAATGCTAAGTTAGTAGTAGTCTGTGGAAAGTTAATTACTATCTGAAGACATTCATGGTTCCCGCCCCCACCCCCGCCTTTTTTTTT